GGTGGAAGCTGGATAAAGAAGATGTGGTTTTTCTATAAAATGGAATATTACTCAGCCATAAAGAATGAGAAAATAGATTCATTCATAGGAAAATGGATACATATTGAAGATATACTCCTAAGTGAAATAAATAAGTCTCATTCTCTTTTTTATTTTTATTTTTTGAGATAGGATCTCACTTTGTAGTCCAGATTGGCCTTGAACTTACTATGTAGCTCAGTCTGGCCTCAAGCTTATGGCAACCCTTTTGTCTCAGCCTCCTGCGTGCTGGGATTGCAGATGTGTGCCACCACACCCAGCTCCTATAATGATTTCAAGTCCACAATTCACTGGTCCTAGGACCATGGCAGGTCCTGTGGTTTTCCTGCTCCTCTGATTCCCTTCTGCCATGCGGGGCAATATACTGGTAGCTCACAAGCTTGTTAGGAGTATTGCATGGAAAAGAGAAAGAAGTTCAAATGTGAAACTATTAATTATGCTTCCTACTGCTCCCAGAGAAGTTGGTGAGGGAAGAAGATAAAGCTATGTGCAAAAATAAAGTTGGAGTTGTCTCTGATTTAATTTTGACGGTTGAAATGCTGCTATAATACCTTAGCTTCTCCAGGGGAGGATGACGCACAAACAAGGGTCAACAATAGATCCTTGGCATCTGGACTTGTCATTGCTCTGTTAAATAGTGGCTATGGAAACATGAGGTAGCAATTTACTACCCAGAAATACCATGCTGAGCTCTTTCAGTCACCAGGTCCCCCTAAGGGCACAGCGCAGGCCAAGATGTCTCTAACTTCCTCCTAGAAGTAAGGAGTCCAGAGCAGTGCTGGGCACTTCCTTAAGAGGAAAGGGCTGGGGACAGGCCCCGCTGCTGGGGCTAGGGGAGTGTGAACGTTGGGGCACAATTCCCTATCAGCAGTGCCAGCAACTCTGAGACCAAACCCTGGCTACCTTGGGGTAAAGAGTTTGTGTACTGCTATTTGGCCATCCGTTAGGGTAGGACGTAGAGGAATTCACTGGGTCTGTTTGGAACTTTTGCTGGCAGATCCATGAAAGTGGAAAATTTCCCCTCACAAATACTTCAAGAAGAAGAGGAAGGAAGGAACAAACTGAGCTGGGTGTGAGGACAACATGCAGCACGGGTGGCAGAAGTGGGTGCTGCCCATGTGCATCTGTAGCCCAGATCCTCTGATCCTGGGCTCCTCCTGGTGATATCAGTGTGCACACCCAGAGAAAAGTGGTGCCTATTCAAGTGGAAACTGGCTCAGAGGGAGTCTAAACTGCATGCACTGAGGCATTCAGTCACCCGGAATAGGTGACTACATGTGCGTGAATCTGAACCAGCAGTCACACCTCAGGTGTCTGGGACACCCAGCAGAACACCTGTCTCAGTGGGAAGAGAGGAAGGGAAGGGCTCAGGATCCCTGGGTCCCTTCGGACTTCACGTTCAGTTGTAGGGAAACAGTCTTATTGCCTTCTGCAAGTGGGGAGGGGTGGAGCACACTTCGGGACTTTTACATTGAATCCTGTCCTTGATACCACTAGCAGTGGCAGAAGAGAAACTGCTCTACCACTCTCCTGGAGTCCAGTTACCCTGAGTAACTGAGGCTGGGGCACTGCTACATAGGGGCCACAGGTGCACCATTACAAGGATGCATTTTTCTTTTCTTTCATTCTTTTTTGGGGGAAGGGTACTGGTGTTGAATCAGAGCCTTCATACTGAGATACATCCCCAGATCCTTTTTTATTTTGAGACAGAGTCTTGCTATATCAATAAGTTGCTCAGGCTGGGCTTAAACTTGTAAATCTCCTGCCTCAGCCTCCCAGGGTGCTAGGATTACAGGTAAGTGCCACCGTGCCTTGCTTGGTATGTTTTCTTAATTGTGGATTTTGTTTCCTCTGGGTTCTGAAATAAACTTTTGTAAAAGTTTAACCACCCTTATTTGGAGTAATGAAATAAAAACTTTGTGTATTTTAGTGCCTTTGGGCTGGATGGGTCAGGTTAGCTCCTTGACAGAGGGGTGGACATCTGGACAGAGGGCATGCAGAGAAATGTCCTTCCCACTCACTCTTCTTGAACCCTGTCATGGCACCGCTGGGCTAAATCCCCGGCCCATGCTATTTTGAGATGGAGAAATGGAGGTTTCAGAAAAATAAGCTTCTGTTCAGAGGCCGTTGATGGGATTTCTCACCGAACACCAGGAGTGGGAGTTCCAGCCAGACATCCGTGAGACGGTAGACCAGGAAAGGCGTGAGGATGCCACCAATGTCACACATCGAGGAACAGACAAGTACACCGAGATTCCTAAAAGGTAGGAACTCAATTTGACTCTTGATTTATCACAGGGCAGCAGTTATCTCCCACCCCTAAATAAATATTTCCTCAAGCTGGGCCAGGTGATTTATGACTGCAGCCCCAGCACTCTGAGTGGTGGAGACAGGAGGATCACAAGTTGAAGCCCAGCCTGGGCAATTTAGTATGACCTTATCTCAAAATTAAAAAAATTGAAAACAGGGCTGAAGATGTAGCTCAGTGTGAAGGTCCTAGGTTCAGTCCTGGTACTAAAAAACAGAAACACAAACCAAAATCTTCCCCAAATCATGAGAATGTTGGAAAACTGTAAAACATTGCTCACATTGTTTTCAGTGAGTGACAGTGATGTACGCACAGAATTTCACTCTTAGTCTGTTGTTCCCATTTCATATAGACTTTCAAACTTCGGAGAGTGGAAAGTGGCACTTTTCTCTCCCATCACCTGGCTGGCTTCTCAGTGACATTTCTAGGAACCCACTTGTGCTGTTCCCATCACTGTCTGCTGGAGCACCTGGCGGACTTTGCTTCTGGACTTCGCCCCCCACTGAAAGCAAGAGGTGTGAGCCACTGGCCCCAGCTGCTGCCTCTGAGCATCCTCCCTTTTTCCGCGGTGCTTGGAAATCGGGGTGCCATTGTGGCTAGATCTAAAATGTCCCCCAAAGTCTCATACGTGGAAGGTAACTGATCATGGGAGCGCCATATTCATCAGTGCATCCACCCACTGATGGGTTTACAGCTGAGTGTGCTGTTAGAAGGCGAGGCCTGTTGGAGGTGGGCCACTGGGGGTGTGACCTGGAAGGGGGTATTCTTGTCCCTGCCTCCTCACTTCTCTCTCTGCTTCCTGGCTGTCGTGGGCTGAGCATCTTTTCCTCATCCTTGCCCCTCTGTCATCCTATTTCTGCCTTGGGGCCTGGCAACCATGGACTGAAACTGTGAGTCTAAATAAATTTGTCTTACTTTAAGTTTCAGGTGAGTATTTTGCTCCAACAACAGGAAAGTAGATAAGACAGGTGACTCTGCCTTGCTGCAATGGTTCTAGCCCCAAAACAAGGGTTCCAGCCACCCCTCATACTCACCTGATGAATGTGGGGTACAGTTCAGCATTGACTAGGCAAACTATTTCATAGGCCATCGTGATCCCCATCCTACCTAAGCATGCGATGGTGACTTTTAGCCAGTGTAGATCTGAGGGAAAAAAACACAGCTCTTGCAGAGGCATTCTATGATCCCTCTTTTCCAAAAACTGCTCCCGAGTGGGCTTTGTTTGGAGAAACTCTCTGTTCCAAGCCATTGCAGTGCTGCTACAGCCTCAAGGCAACAGCAGCAACTGTCCTGTTTGTTTTAATCTCCCAGGGTACCAGGGGTCAAACTCAGGACCTTGTGCTTAGGAGGCAGGCACAGCACCACTGAGCTAAATCCTGGGCTTAAGACTTCAATTTTTAAAAAGTAGTTTTAAGTTCCTAGCAAAATTAAGATTAAAGTATGGTGATTTTTCATTTCCCTCCAGCCCTAGCATGTATGCTCCCTCTCCCATTATCAATACTTTCGGTAGTGACCACTCCACAGTCTGAACCAATAGAAGATGAAATGTATCGACTGCTGTGGTATCACACAGAATTTTTACTGCCTTCAAAATCCTCCATTCTCCACTTGTTCAACTCTCCACCAATTCCCAGAAACCACTGATTTTTCCCTGCTTCCATAGTTTTGATTCAAAGACTCCCTTATCTTTAGGCCTCAGTTGTTAACTACACAAAATCATAACATTTTCTAAACTAGGATAACTTTACAGAGGTTACCCCAAAGGAACAGCAAAATATGGGCATACTTTCAGTAACTGCTATGCAATGAAGTGTTTGGATGAAGCCCCACATAGCTGAAAGGATTCTCTTTCGTAGGCTTTTGCTCCCTGCCATTGAGAATCATTTCATGCAGAGAGAATAATTGCTTATTTATTTGTTTATTTATTCCAGTACCTTGCACTCTGGACCTTGCACTTTTGAGGCAGGTGGCACCATTGAGCTAGATCCCCAGACCAGAATAATTGTTTACTGATGACACATAAGTTTTCTGATTTATTTTGCAGGATGATGCACAAAAGTGAAGAGACCTTGGAAAGTTCTACAGTGAATGTAATCTATATCAGAGCTTCACAGCTTCTTTTGTGCTATCATACTGGGGTACAATTGTGTATGTGTAGTTGTTGACCGTGTTTTCTCAGAATGATCCTACACATTTTGCTATCTCTCCAAATCATCTGAGAAACTGCATGGTTTTCTTATTACAAGGCTCTGATACCCCTTCCAAAGGCTTCTGGGGCAAGGCCCCCACTGGGCCAGAAACTTACCATCAGGGACAAAAACGGAAGCTAGACAGGCCACCCCTGCCACCATATTTGCCACAGCCCAAGGATAACGGCGACCAATGCGGTCAATGGTGAAGATGATGATGAAGGCTGCTGGGAATTCAACCAAGGCAGAATAGAAGAAATCCAGGTAGACATTGCCCCCTGCAAGGCCCATGTGCATGATAAGGCCCTGGTAGAGAACAGAGCTCGTGAACCTGAGCAGAGAGAGAGAGAGAGAGAGAGAGAGAGTCAAGGTCAAGTTAAGGACCAAACACACACCACCCAAAAAAGAGTCTTCTGGAAGAAATGGAGTAGATGGTGGATGACCTTTCCCTGTGACTTACTGCTGTATTCTCTGTTCCATCACTTTGACATTGGTTGGTGCCGTTTGATGGCTGGCTATGACCCAAAACCCAGGCACATGGAAGGAATTAGGACAGCATTCCCTGGCCAAACAGAAAGCCAAGAAGAATGCCTTCACAGAGTGACTTACTCCGTAAAACTATGACAAGGTATTAATGACTGTGAATTGTTTGCAGTTTTCTAAAGCATTGCATCAAACAGATTCATACATAATTCAAATTTCAGGAAACAGAAGACCAAAGAAATACCGATTTCCTTCTCAGAAAATATGAGGATGATCAGGAAGAGTCACAGTTATTCAGAAAAGGAAAGAAGGAGAGTAAGGCCAGATCTCAAGGCTGCCTCTTCCACATAGAATTGTGTGTAGATGAGCTTTGCCTCTGTCAGTGAGAACAGCACTTTGTGTGGACTGTGTGAGATGCTGGGCTCGCCAAGCTGATGCTGCCTCTCCAGGTCGGGGTGGCACGTAGTGAGTGGCTCTGGGCTCTGGGAGTGACCATGAGCAGCCAGTGTGGCACAGAGAAGCTCCAGGTGCTGGACTATGCAGCCACTAGAGCATTGTTGTTCATCGGTCTACTTTTTTTCTACAGGCCCTTTTCCTGTCAGCTCTGTGCTATTTATCATATTAATCCATGGATATTAATCCATGATGAATGGAGTTAATGTCAATATATCTTACAGTAATAAAATTTTTAATTTAAACATTCTCCATAGTCTTTGACCACACTGCATGTTTTTTTTTTCCCCTCCCTTTCCTGTCAGGCCTGTGTTATTTATTGCAGAGATTTATGCTTATTTGCAATTAATATATACCAATAGTTATCAAGCTGGGGTAAATATTAGAATCATCAGGATAATTCTGAGTCTTACGCTAGACCAATTAAATGAGTTTTATAATCTCCTGTGGGATTCTAAAGGGAAACTGAGGTCAAGACCACCATGATCTACATGTAGGGACTGTGAGTTGACTTACACATCTGTCTGAGAGAAACATGATCATGGAGACCTGCTACTCCTGAGCCACACACTGCTGTCCTCTGTCATTGTCCAGCTTGGCATTAGGTTGTTTTGAGGCACCCTTGCTCTCTCCCTTAATGTGGATGTTGTGAGTAAATAAATTTGGAGTGATTTTAAAGCAAGAAACAAACAAATAAACAATGGCTTACCAGTTGTACATCAAAATCAAAGTGTGTTTCCTTATCTGAGGGGTTCTGACCAAGTCAAGAAATGAAGGGTTCAACTTTTCAACAGCTTCCTCATCTGCTCTGATGCTCTGAGAGAAGACACAATGAGAGTGGCTTTGTCTATGGAGCAGTGGTACCAGGGTCGTATGGGGTCCAGAAAGAACGCCTCATACTTACCAAATGCCCATTGTATGCCCTGCCTGACACTTCATTTTTACAAAATTCCAAGAAGTTAGAACCTACTTTTCCACCTCATTTTACAGAACAGGAGCTTGACTATGGAGGGTTTGTATAATTCATGGCAGATATTTAAAGGAGGGTGGCACAGTGGAGTGTCATTGAGGTGGAGACACAGACCTTGGACCTTGGAGGCTAAGGGTGAAGCAACTGGTTCCCCCAGCCTCCCTCCAGATGGTCCCTTTTGTGGCCCATCAGGCAGGAGGTTTAGGCCTGGGACCTTGATTTCAGACCAGTATAGGCACTGCGCAGAGCTTGTTAGAAATAAACTATCAGAGATAGACTGATTGGGACTATTGTCACAAAGTCCCTGTGTGACCTTGTGCAGGGACAGTAACATCTGAGAAGTCTTTCTCTGGAAAGATGCAGTCACTAGGCGGTGGAGTTGTAATAGGTGATGGTGCGCAAACGAATGGGGCACAAGCAAAAATGGCAACAGCAGGTTGTTAGCATAGCTGGAACTTCAGGTGTTTTACTTTGACAAAATAATGATCCACCTGTGACTGAGGTCCTAGCCATTCACTGCAAGAATCGAAAACCCAAGAGTCAGAGCCATCCTAAGTCCTTAAAGATAAAGAAAACCATCCAGGAGTGTGAAGTGAAGAAAAATGCCTGTGAGTCCAAAGCCCTCATCATACTATGCAAACCTCAAATTCTTACAACTAACTTGTCTTAGATCCTCATTCTCAAGAAATTTACTCTAAGCCTCACATGATTTTCTAATATGCTTCATTTTCTCCTTTCTAGCTCCTGTCAGATGAAAAGTTTTGAGTTCAAAATGTTGAGATCTACAAAAGGCAAAACAAAACCCAGAACCAAAGGACACCTCAGTAGCTCAATTCTGTTTAAGAAGGCAGGTGATCACTTAAAACATTTTGAAACAATTCCTATTCAAAATATTTTAAGTGCTAAGGAATTAGTCCAACTGTGTTATGGATGTAAGATTTTGACCTGAGAGTACGTGGGCTGTGAGGGACAGTGGCCAGCAAAATGTCAAGTTGCAAATAGAAGCTCCTTTTCTGATTTTTAAGTGGCTTTTGGTTCTGTGTAAGTTCCATGTTTGACACATGAGCAAATATTCTCCCAGGAACTGCAAATCTTGTATTTATCCCATTTATCAAATCTCCCCCCTGGTAGGCCAAGCAGTAGGGTGATGGCCCACCTGTTGGCATTGCTGGTGTGCCCTACTTTCCCCATAGCTGCTGTCTGATTTGATAGCTGAGACCCTGGCTCACCTGTACAGAGGCTGGCATTGATTTTCCATTTTTCTTAGCGATGTGCTTAATGATCCTCATGGCTTTCCCGGTTTTGTTCTGGGAGATCAACCACCTTGGAGACTCAGGGATGCACCTATGGTACAGCATAAGTGAGTGGAAAATCTTCCTGAAAGCTCCCAGCAACCCACACTTTTATGATGGGATTTCTGTGAGGATCATACACAATGAGATTTGGTTAGATCAACAAAGGGGATAAAGAGTGAGTTGGGGACTTGTGCTCCTCCCAAAGTCATCTCTCAAATGCTGACTTTAGTCAGCCTTGTCCAAGAAGCCCTCAGGCTCCCTCTGTAAAGGTTTCTAGAGGGAGCAACCTACCAAGCCAGGTACAGCTGACTCTGACTGTGCCCCTGGGAGGAGAGGAAGGTCTGCAGGTTTTGCAAGGCTTTGCAAGGGTGGAAGGGGTCTCAGTGTGGAGGTAGGGCTGTGCAAACCATCAACGAGGAAAGCCAGTATATATAAAGTGAGACCAAAAAGTATGACCATGATTTTTTTTTTTTTTTTTTTTTTATGGGGGTTT